GCCGCCTTCGAGGGCAGCCAGGCGAGCTGAGAAACCGCGGTTCCCGTGGCCGATTCGCTCCTCCGCCAGATTGGCTGGTCTCGGACCGTCGCCAGACCCGCGTGGTTCGTCGACCCAACAGCCAACACAGTCTGACCCGAGGCAACGGGCTCGGCCGAGCACGAGGCAGGACTGGAATAGCACGTACCGTTCGTGCCGGAGATCAGATCAAAATTGGTGGGCTCCTGAAAAGTGATACAGACACACACAAAATGGAGCAATTGGAAATTGCATCTTTTTCACATGAAGCAATCAAGAACACGATCCTGCAGAAAGTAGTTGGGTTCTGGTCACTTTGGCCAAAACACTCTTGCCTTCGTGCATACACGCACGCATAAACTCACATAAGCACACACACACATATACACACACATACATGCTAATTCAGGTGTACTTAGATTATATTGTTAAGGGGACTTCTATTTCGTATGAAAGTGAATAAAGAAGCGAATCGTTGGTCGATCTCACCAGAAGAGGACGGATGAATCTTGTTGTACCGCAGCCGTTTGGCTTTTATACCATATTCATGTTGACGCAGTCCACGAGACTTGCTCCCTCGTTTTTGGTGAGCAAGTGCCGAGCTTTTGTCCATCATTCGATGGACATCATTAAAGTTGAACGTCATTCTTGTAAGAATCTCATGTTAACACTAAAGCAAGAAAACTATCCGGCTCTAGCTTACTTCTAACATAGACTCAATCGAGCCAAAAAATTAAAAATTAAAAACCTAGATATAGAGTGATTTGGTTAATTTTGTATCATACTGGTCTTGTTACTTTTGCTCGAGTGTATGCGTATGTGTATGCATGCGTGTTAGCGTCTATATGGAATACGGTTCCTAAATCAGAGTTGTTAAAGATTTAATATCAGGTTCTGATCCTCAAGACCTAATGACCCAAGAAAGAGCCTAGACCGAGACTGCGTAAATCTGTAAGCAAGTATGTTTGAGATGAGCTTGTAAGCATGTAAGTCAAGTTACGGAACCACTTGTCCCAACCTTGCAATCTGGGGTCATTAACGTTTAACCCTCCACGAAAAGGCAAAACTGGGGTTGCGTAATCTGACATTTCTGGTCGTAGGAAAGGGCAACTAGAAAATGCGTCTGTGTGTGTGTGATGGATAGATGGGAATGTGAATCCCATCAACGAGTTTCTTTTGGCCAATTGTCGGTTGGCTCGACTCGAACATTTTTGTTGACATTTTTTCATAAAATGCATGACCTTGCGAGGATGCACCAACCGATGGAGGAATGTATGACAGACCAAGACAGCTACTAGCACGGAATGGAGACGAA